ACCATGTTGTCAGTTTTGTCCATTGGACAAATCAAATTGTCGCATGGAGGTTCTACCATTGTCTTACAGAAGACTCGGTTGGGATGGATCATCGCTGGAGGCTCTGAACTGTTATCGGCCTCAACAACCTCTCCTTGCAACGTCGTCAAATTAGATAAGCTCATCGAGCGTTTCTGGATTATCGAAGACTTCGATCACGAACCCGTTCGATCTCGTGACGAAATTTCTTGTGAACAACACTATGTTACACATACCAAACGAGATGTTACTGGTAGGTACATAGTTCGTCTTCCATTCAGAGATTTAAAATTCAATCTTGGCGAATCTCGTTCGCAAGCGCTCAAACGTTTTTCTTCCTTGGATCGAAAACTTTCATCAAATCCTTCATTGAAATCTGAATACACCAGAGTGATGGAGGAGTACATCTCCCTTGGTCATATGACTCTTTGCGATGAGATTGAAGATGGCTATTACCTTCTTCATCACGCCGTTATCAGTGAAACTACCAAGGTTCGTGTAGCGTTCGATGCCTCGGCTAAAACGTCTACTGGCATCTCGCTTAATGATACTCTTCTGGTCGGCCCCACAATCCAGAATACTATCTTCGAACAAGTCCTTCGTTTTCGCACACATCGGTACGTCATCACAGCGGACATTGAGAAAATGTACTGCCAGATTCTAATTCATCCTGACGACAGACAATTTCAAAGGGTTCTGTGGCCTTACCACGGCAAACTCAAAACTTTTCAACTCAACACCGTAACGTTTGGTACAGCCGCTGCTCCATTCTTAGCGATTCGTACCATACAACAACTTGCGCGTGATGAGGCACAGAACTTCCCACGTGCCAGTAAACTTCTACTTCGTGATTTTTATGTTGACGATTTCATCTCCGGAGCAGATTCTCTAGACGAACTTATAACCATTAGAGATGATATGATCGCATTGCTCTCTCGCGGCGGTTTCGTCATCCGCCAGTGGTCATCCAATCATCGTTCAGCTTTGGACACGATTGATAGAAGGTTCTTTGATTTGGATTGCTTGATCAAAGATGATCCAGTCCAGAAGACTTTGGGTATCATATGGGATGCCCAAGGTGATCTGTTGCAGTACACTTTGACTCAGGTTGATCCTAACGTTGTTGCAACCAAACGTAAACTCCTCTCAGAACTATGAAAGATCTTCGATCCTCTAGGACTCTTAGGACCCGTAACTTTATTCGCCAAAGTCTTAATTCAAGACTGCTGAAAGGCAAAGATTACATGGGATGAGTCTCTTCCTCAAGATATCCACACAAAATGGACGTCGCTAGCACTCCAGTTACCAAAAATTCGTGAAGTTTCGGTTCCTCGACAGATTTTAATCGAAAATCCCTCTCGCATCGAAATCCATGGATTTTGTGACGCCTCCAGTCACGGATATGGAGCTTGTCTGTATCTCAAATCCAGCAATCCTCAAGGTGAGGTTTTGATCAGACTGATATGTAGTAAATCTCGGGTAGCACCGTTGAGCGGAGTTACAATCCCTAGGTTGGAACTCTATGCAGCGACCATCCTCAAAAAATTATATGTGGAGAATACGGCTCAGTTCGACTTCCCCATCGATCAGGCATACTTATGGTCTGACTCCACCATCGTTCTTTGTTGGCTTAAGAAAGCTCCTCATCTTCTGAGAACTTTCGAATCAAACAGAGTGGCAGATATTCAAACTTTAGGTGATCAAGTTAGTTGGAGACATGTCCGGTCCGAAGACAATCCAGCTGACGCGTTATCTCGAGGACAACTTCCGTCTGAATTTGTCAATAACTCTCTCTGGTCTTCAGGTCCTAGATGGCTAATTCTCGAAAAACCTGGATGGCCGCAATCCATCGTACCCTCCGCAGTTCTAGTGCAAGGACTGAAAAGGAATCTCTGCCTAATCACTACCACTTCATGTGACTCTCTGTATTCTCAGTTCTCTTNTTGTCAATAACTCTCTCTGGTCTTCAGGTCCTAGATGGCTAATTCTCGAAAAACCTGGATGGCCGCAATCCATCGTACCCTCCGCAGTTCTAGTGCAAGGACTGAAAAGGAATCTCTGCCTGATCACTACCACTTCATGTGACTCTCTGTATTCTCAGTTCTCTGATTTCGAACGATTTGTAAGAGTCATTGCGTACATCCGGCGATGGAAGTATCCACAAACCCCTCGGAATCATCCACTGACTGTCAAAGAACTTGACGAGGCTGAGCATCAAATCGTCATGATGGTTCAGCGCAAGCGTTTCTCTGTTGAAGTACGAAGGCTCACAATCAATCAATCTTCGACGAACTCAACTCGTTCATCAGCAAAGGGAACCTCGTTTGATCAATTGCATCCCTTCGTAGACGACAAGGGAATGCTTCGTGTGGGCGGTCGGCTCAAGATGTCCGAACTATCGTACAATCAGAAACACCCAATCTTGTTGCCTAGTAAACATCCGGTNGAATCTCCATGCAGGGATTCAAAGTACTCTCTACGCGATTCGATCCAAATTCTGGATTCTGAACGGTAAGGATCAGATCAGAAGGATTGTTCGTCGTTGTATCGAATGCATTCGTCAGAAACCAACGTTAGTTCATGCTCAGATGGCAGATTTGCCTAGATCTAGAGTGAACGAAGCACCCGCTTTCTCGCAGACAGGTATTGACTTTTTTGGTCCAATCCTCATCAAAGAGAAGAAAGATCGTAACAGATCGTTTCTCAAGTCTTACGGATGTGTATTTGTGTGTATGGTCTCTAAGGCTGTTCACATTGAATTAGCGACTGATCTTTCCTCACAAGAATTTTTGGCAGCCTTTCGCAGGTTCACCGGCCGCAGAGGTATTCCTGAACAGGTTTACTCCGACAACGGTACAAATTTCGTTGGAGCTAGTAAAGAGTTCAGCGAATTGTACAATCTTCTTACTAGCCCCGAATTCGCGGAAAGCGTGGGCAATTACGCTCTATCTAAACGCATCACATGGCATTTTAATCCACCATTGTCTCCCCACTTTGGAGGGATTTGGGAAGCAGCTGTAAAGAGTTTCAAACATCATTTGAAACGCGTTTTAAAGGACCAAAGACTCACTTATGAGCAACTCAATACTTTGCTGATCGAAATTGAAGCGATCTTAAACTCTCGACCGTTGTGTACTCTTTCGGCTGATCCCAATGATCCCTTAGCTATCACTCCAGCCCACCTGTTGATAGGCCGACCATTCAATGCCTTACCCGAAAAATCGTTCTCGTCAGTTTCAGATAATCGCCTGTCCACTTATAACTTCATCACCAAGGCCAAACAGGACTTTTGGAATAAATGGCACAAGGAATATCTACATGAACTCCAAACTCGCCAAAAATGGCTTACGTCTACTGCTGAACTGAAACTCGGTTCAGTGGTTCTCCTCATGGACGACGCTGTCGCTTGTGCACGATGGCCGCTGGGCGTGATCATCGAAGTGTTTCCTGGGAGTGACGGCATCGCTCGAGTTGCATCAGTTAGGACCGCCAGCGGTACCTATAATCCAAAAATTAACCACGAAAATTACTATTAAAAAAAAAACCTAAAACCATCCTTTATAAAATCCTTATAAATAATTTAAAATCTCTTTTTAAACAAAATCACTTATTTCTTTGAAAACCGGGAATAAATTGGTTTTCCAAAGAATAAAATTAAAGGAAATTCCATGATGACAAAATAAAAATCCAACGAACAACTAAAATTTTTTCGAAATCTCCCCTAAATAAATAAATCAAAACAAACAGCAAATTAATTTTAAAATAAAAAAGTATAATTTCACATTTTTTATGTTTTCTTTTACAAAAGGCACAGATACAATTGATTAATTTCATTTAATTATTATTATCATTTCATTTTTATCGTCTTTCACTCCACTTCCATCTCGACGTCCCACTCGACAATGGGGTTGTTCTCTCCCCATCGCCCCTCGAAAAGCATCTCCAAGGCCCAGGAAATCCTCAAACAATCCACCTTCCATCGACAGGAGGTCATCCTGTAGATTGCTATTAGCATCCACAGTCCTCTTCCGAATCCTGCGAACCTCATTTTTCTCCTCGATATTTATAAATCCCCTGAGCCGCAAGTGAGGTGAATCCTATGAACAAATCGAAACAAAAACAATTAATAAATAAATACTAGTTGAAAACAAAATCCCACCCCATAAAAATTTGAATAAACAACAAAAATTGCACCACCCCGATCAATAAACGAATAAATAAATAAAATCTCTGACTAAAACGAAATAAAAAAATAAAAAAATAAAAAAATGGATCCAAAAACAGGATCTGAAACTCCTCAATTTAACTATTCTCTACCCCGCTAAAATAAAATTTTACAAAACACCTCAAGTACAAAATTTGCTAAAAATTACACTACCCCGAACGATAAATAAATAAATTCCCTTTAAAAATGCCTACACAATTGATTGACGAATACAAAAACTCACCAATTCCCCAAAATGAAACTGCCCAGAGACGACAATGCACATTTTCTGGACAGCACCGTTTAAAATCGTGACTCCCCGTCGGACATGAGCAGCGCTCAGAGGGAACTCCAACCAATCTATCCCATTACGCGATTCGGTTACAAAGCGGAGACATGTATCCGCCAAACTCCGCAATTTCTCACGCCAATCATTGAGGCTCATCATCTAAACAAACAAACAATTAATAAATTAGTTAAAACATATAAATACAAAATCAACAACCCCCCAAAAATCGTGCATAGCTAAAACTTCCACCCCAACCGATAATGAATCTAAATAACGGAAATATCAAAATTCAAAAATCTCAACACAATT